GCCTCGAGCGAGAGAAAAGGCCGTCTTATGTTTAGATCACTTAGATCTGGTTAGCAAGCACTACTGGTTGATGTGAATGGCGTTCAACTATTCGTGTCATTCAATCAGTAGTATATAACGTCATGCATTGTGGATGTATTTTTCACCTACTTATATTGTCCAGTTCATTTTATTCATTTCAAATTACTCGTCCTGTTTTAAGACAGCTTATACTGAGCACCTCTAAACTTTCAATTGTTAGCATGACACTCATGTTGTGAGTAATTTCCTTCATACAAAGTGAAGTCTATTCCCTTCACTTCAAAAATTTCTTTTAAGAATACAATTATCTAGAATATTTTCGTTTAATTTTTATCAAATATGAATAAAATATTCACTTTGGTTATCATCCACATGACATGATACAGGCAACTTCAATCTCTCATCACTTGCTCATTTCAAACTCGTTTGAAATTTCATATTTCTGTACGTTATAAAAGTTACATAACTTCCATTATTTCTGGCTAAATTATTTTCAAGGATGATAGAGGTATGGGGCTGAAAATAACAAGGACTCTTGAAAGCACTTCATGGTTGGGTTTTTGTCATTAATTCTAATTGCCCACCGTGAATTAACAGAAGTTGGATTCTGACCCGCTGATTGAATGGTGAGATGGTGATCGTAGGTTTTTAGAGAGGATTCATCCTAAGGTAATTGGTATGCAATGTAACAGAATTACTGCATTGAAATCAATCACCTTCTGCCCAACTCCTTAAATGATTAATCATATTTCGTCAGGTGAAAGTTATGCTACTGATCTTCACCACGTATGCAGAACTACAGGTGTGTCCATGAGCGAATGTGTCTATGCAAGCCTGTTATGTGGTTTATAACATTACATAATGAGTAAACCGGATATGCGGATCACGCAAATGCATTTCAGTCTTCTTAATAACTTGTATCACCAAAATCAGTATCATTCCTAGAAGTATGTAGCTTGTAGACAGTGTCTTAAATACTAAAAAACACTCACGAAATGCGATCCAGTCAGTTGTGACTTTGATCACTTCACAGAAAAATTAGGCAGTGAGATCTGTAGCTCTCGAATCAACAACTCTATGCCCATGAATTCCTAACTAAACAGTATATCACAAATGTATGAATCAGATGATGATAGGTCAATATAGAAAATCAAGTCTTTTTTCCAATCATAGCACATCATAATAAAAAAAATGAAGCTACATATATGTTGGTTGCAAACTGGAAAGATATGAATGTGAGAGTAAGGAAAACAATCAAATGAAGTTAAATGAGTGTTAGGAACGCCTGAGTTGATAAAGCGTAGACATATTTCCATCTGTTTCACCGAAAACCTTCGATCATTGTTATCTAGCATCCTGAGGTCTCCAGACAGACTACCCACATTTGCCTGTCACAGTCAATGGTTTCATTCTTTGATTTGATCACCCTGGAATGATTTCCATCTGATCTTTATCCACTTATAATTTCGCGATTGGGAAAACTGTTTCAGCATGTGTGATTACGGCATGAGCCTGAGTCAACGAAAATGCACAGCATGATCAATCGAGTTGGGTTTCTTTCCTATAACTCCAGATCTTACGGCAGCATTACATGCGGTGTTCCACTCTAGGTTAACAATATAACATCGACACAGTATAAACCCATGTAGTAGTTTCGTACATCTTGTTACATGATGATTATTCACTTATCACTATGGTTTATTTGTCAGTATATAAATTTATCAGGTCGATGAGTTTGACAGTGAAAAATTTTCGTCGAGTCATGCATTTCTTGGTAGCAACGAGTGGGTCGTCCCAGGGTGACATGGAGGGGATCGTATGGGGAAGAGATGAGAGAGTTTGGTCAATCGTGGACCCAACTAAAGAGGACGGCAGAAAACAGAACAAAGTGGAGATGTGTTGTTGAAGCCCTATGTTCCACTCGGAACGCAAGGGAATAATGATAAACATGCACTTCTTCCTGTGTGTTTGGATACAAATACCCACAGTTGCATAGGGTTGGCGGAACTCATTCTTATATACACCACTTCAATAAGCTTCATCCATGTGAAAACCTATGTGAGGGACATCACTGAATTATATCTCGAATTCCGGTTTCTAACCAGTCAGCCATATGATTAGTTGTCGTATAGTTTTAAACCCGTATAATATTTTGTTTTGTGATTTTATGTAGCTGGCGAAGGGTTAGTCAAATTAAAACTACTATCAGAGGGTATGATGAGATCCAAAGATGGTAAGGAATGGGCATTTTCACGTTTTTCCCACTAAATGCCTCCATCTACCAATATTTAGCATTCTGAGGAATCTGTTCACATTATCAACATCTTTCTATGGCTTAGACAAACAGTCAATCACTTTATACTTTGAATTGACCACCCTTCAATATTTTTCAGTCTAACCTTTATTCACTTAACATTGTCCTGTGAGAAAGACAATGACTTACTATGTTTAACCGTGACAGCCGACAAAGATTAGGAACATCATCTGTAGACTTATTTATTTGTGGTAACACTCCACAACTAACCTCAACATTACTTGTGGAGTGGTTCCATTCTGTATAAGCATCTGGACAAAGATACATCTGGCCTAGTACTTGTAATCGTTTTATAGCTTCAACAGTTATGTTTCACATAGAGATACGCCAGACATTTCGCATTTGCCAACGATGATGCGAAGTGGCAACTACCACACAAGCCTTTTGTTTACATATCCAGAGGTTTTGTTGCCAACCAATTCATTTGCAGCTGATGCAACTTTTCAAATAGTAAAAGTGGTTCGAACGCATTCAAAACATTTTATTTAATGTTCTTAAACCGTAAGTAGCTCAGACCAGTGCCGTAGCATTAATTTACATCGCAAAGGGTGAAGTTTTTGTAGCCAAACTCAAATTTTGGTCTAGATAGATTTTATCAGAGTCACATAAAAGTAACGTAACTTCCGTGTACTCGAAATAAAGGAATTAGTTCTCTGGTAGCAAACAGATTCCTGAGATGTCGAAGTCGAAGAGACACACATCCGTAATAACTAAACAAGGATGGTGACTTTTGATATCGTTTGGAGGCCTCTACTCATTGGATAGAGGAAGAGATTATTCGTTACACAATGTACACTTGATGAAACAGGGTGTGAATAGATAGACGAGAGAAAGGAGCCGTACGAATTTATTTTTAATAAACAATCTTGGTTGAAAATAATAATGCAATAAGATGGGTATTACTGTATGAAAAAGCCAAGATCGTCAGGAAACATAAACTTGGAATTTTGTAGGTCCACGGAGTTCGAACTCTAATTGCAAAGTAACTTGAAGGCTGAAAGGAACGGGACGGTATAACATTCTCCCATTCTCTATTTCGTATGCTTTATTGATCAGAAACGCCAAAGTATTCTACAAAAATGTGAACTGAGTTTCTCTCACCACATAACTTTACTATCTATTTCTCTGCATTCTATTTGGCATTTCTCAAGAATTTATCCTCAATTCCTATCTGAAATATAATAAAAGCCTTCAGTACAAGCTTTCCTGAGAACTGTAGTATTCAAACTTACATGTATTCTTAATTTAACGAATATGCAATAGTAACGTAAAGTCCTACCAATCAGGATGCTACTCAAACAAAATATGTTGGCAGTAGAGATAACTACTGAGTGTAAAAATAGTGATACATGGGATTCATCAGGTTACACATACTGATCGTTTAGTCACCGTTTGGTCAGATTAGTTTAATTTCATTGTGGGCAGTGTTTTGTTAAATCTCCTCTACGTGGCTGTTTCCCACGAGATACATTCAGCAGTCTACTTAGAACACTACAACACACCAGTTCTGTGCCTTCCATTTATGAAAATATTCTACGACGGATAGAAAACTGATAATGGAACTTTTAGTAGTAGTCTCGTGTTCACTCATAGTTAGTCACTCTAGAATGTAAGCGAAAGATGTTTATAAAGAAGTTAGTGAATGTGAAAGAAAAGATGTCTAAGGTGTTTGCCTTGGACATAATCAACCTTCTTACAGAACTATTCACACATATACAATTTTAGGAGACTATCGATGGTGGTTTTTTGGCTTCCGTCATTTTCAGTGCACATAGAATGAAGAGGAAGTGAAGAGCCATCAAGTAGAGGAGTTGCATTAGTAGAAGGAAGGCAAGATAATAGAGATGAAGACAAAGATGAGTGAGGATTAGAGAGGTTTCGCGTGCACTTCGGATTGTGAGGGCGATTGTTACTTCCCGGCTGCTCACACCGTGGAAGTTGGTTGCGTGACCGCAGAGCCCAGGGGACAACTGCTTGAGGCCGGTCACACACGGCCTGTTTTTGTTTGTTCTTTTTCATTTGGTGTGTCTCAGTAGCATATTTATCACTTCTGCCCAGTGACACGGCAGCAGAAAGCGCGGTCGTTGTTAATCCGGGCCCCGACCGATCCGGCATGATATTTTGTGATTTACTTTGAGTCATAGCATTGGGTTGGGTAACTGCTTTTTGTCTAACCGCTATCCAAACAACCTTTCTGGCATGGTAGGACCTCAAGCGACATAAGTCTCAGCCGGTATAGCTTGTTGAGTCATTGCGGTGTTCAAGGCCGACCACCACGTCAAGGTAGCAGCTTCCGGTCGGGAACACATATACAAGTTGACATTCCACTAGATCCACTATTAAGAAATCCTAAACACCTGTACAATTTTTGAAAATTACGACTTGTCGTTCATATACAATGCGCGACTGTACTCAAATATTGTTTCCTGGGTCTCTAGAGATTGGAATCGATCACTATGCATATCGCTCAGTGCCATTTTCAAGGCGTTCTACAAAAACTGACTGAAGCTTTCAAGTTTATGAGGTTAATAATACTCAGAATGTATGCAATTAGGACTTCTTTTATTAAAAATAATACACCTCATCTTTTTAACCTATCCTTTAAGTGCTGCTTTTATAAAATCTTACTACAAATCATACCCTATTAACCTAGACAGAGAATAAATATTTTGTTGTATGCATCAAGCTTCCCTGAACAACTTGGAATACTCGTAAACGGTATACTCGTTATTGAGATAAATAAATAAAATTCCATCCAAAAACAAGTATATTTGTCAATTGGTTGGAAATATTGGTAAACTTAAGCATTAATTTTGTTAAAGATTACAGCTTTGAACATAAAGATACACGTCCCATTAGCTCTACAACTAATAACTAGGGATACTATTAATCAATTATAGATAATACGCAGATTTTATGCACAGTCAAATACATAAACTATCGCCTCTCCACTAGACTTTAGGTAGACGCGTTCACTGTCAACCGCTTCGCCAATTATAAACTTGTCATTCGGTGGATATATTATCCTTGGAATGATACGCGGGCAAACAGTAGAAAAACTGAAAGTTCCACTAGCAGTGCTTTCATCTTTACGTAGTACAACTATGGATGCCGGAAAGCCTTCAGCTTTGCGCTCGAATATTTGGAACTTCAAATCCTGTGTCTGTAACAGAAAAAGATAATAATATAAATTTTTGGCATAAATACGACAAATACTCAAAATTCTGTATTCTGAATGCTGCTGTCTAGACTGCAACGTAAAAGCAAAACAGATAATGAGATTTTTAAAAACTTTCTAGCGAAATGCCTCGACAGACTTATAAAAAAATTCGATGACTGACAAATTTGAAATATTCTCCTTGTACCTGCTTTCGTTTCACACCCATGTAACAATACTGTTCATCTTTAAGAGCAATGATAAGAAAGTCTTTCTAATACTTACCAAAGCTAAAAAACGCGGTTTTAAACATATATAGTGATTTATTTGCGCTTTAGTTGAGTGACACTAGTCAACGTCAGAGGATTTTCTCTAGTGTCCTCCTACACTGCTATTTTAGTGCTGGCAATTTCCTTTTCCCTACACTACAAGAGAAAACGAGCTGACAACTGTAAAAACTTGTTACATTAAAATTTGAGAAACAAAAGTAAAGCATATGTTAGTAGAAGTTCTCATTCCATAGATTGTTTACGTAGTAAGACCACGATTATTTTCCATAAATAAACAGTAGAAAATCTGACTTATGAAACATTACAACTTTTACTTGTTATACATTTTATTCTGCATGTATAAACGAAGAAATATAAGCTAGTTTAAGACTTAGAGCACGAAATGTGAATGACAGAAATCGTACGATTCTATTTTAGGTAAATGTTCATGAGTGAAGAATAACGTTAGTCGAACTAGGTCGTTGACAGCCGTATACGTACACAAATAATACACAGTTCAACTCTGTAAAATAATCAACACTACGACGCCTTTTTAAACGAGGAGGTAGTGACTTACCGTAGGAGTAGGTTTCAATAATTTGAAGTCGCCCCATAACATGCTTTCATTTTTACTAACTGATATAAGACTCTGGACGAGGCTGAATGGAGTAACTCCCCGACCACTTGCTGACGCAGACTAAATAGATTACAAGAAGAAAAGTGTATGTGAGCATGTTGAATCAAAGTTATCTCCAAAACAGTGTCAACAAGGAAAACGAAGGTCATGTATTTCGAGTCTAAGCATAATTCTAATATCTATGGCATGAAAATACTTAGCAGAGGTAAAATAAAAATACAATATTACACGAGAAATTCGTAACCACTTTAAAACTATTCAGAAAACTTAATTCAAGGGTCCTTCCCATGTCTAGGTATTTTACTATCACAACCCAAGGTCATTGCGCATAATTATTGTAGTTGTTTATGGTCTGTGTGGATTTCATCGACGAAATAATCTTCCTTCATGTCCCAAGATAAACCCAGCATGCGTTCGACGAGGTATTTCTAGCAGCTGAGTTCTCTCACTATGGAGGAAAAACTTCTGGTGGTAGACTCAGCAACTTACATGGAGATGCAAAATCATATTCCTATTTCCCAGAAGAGGACTCCACCGGCCAACTAAGGAGACTGCCCGAGTTACATTGAGCATGTACGTCAAACAGTCATCTACAAATAAACCATAATCGGTAGGTCCACGAAGTGATATATCGCCAAAAACACTCAACGGATATCGTTAAAGCATACTTAGCACAGAAAAGATATGACGCGGTGATGAAAGGATGACTAGTTACCTCACCTTCAGAGGCTTCTCGCCTACTTATAAACCATTAAATTGTGACTCAACCTTCGCCAGCTACATAAAATCACAAAACAAAATATTATACGGGTTTAAAACTATACGACAACTAATCATATGGCTGACTGGTTAGAAACCGGAATTCGAGATATAATTCAGTGATGTCCCTCACATAGGTTTTCACATGGATGAAGCTTATTGAAGTGGTGTATATAAGAATGAGTTCCGCCAACCCTATGCAACTGTGGGTATTTGTATCCAAACACACAGGAAGAAGTGCATGTTTATCATTATTCCCTTGCGTTCCGAGTGGAACATAGGGCTTCAACAACACATCTCCACTTTGTTCTGTTTTCTGCCGTCCTCTTTAGTTGGGTCCACGATTGACCAAACTCTCTCATCTCTTCCCCATACGATCCCCTCCATGTCACCCTGGGACGACCCACTCGTTGCTTCCAAGAAATGCATAACTCGACGAAAATTTTTCACTGTCAAACTCATCGACCTGATAAATTTATATACTGACAAATAAACCATAGTGATAAGTGAATAATCATCATGTAACAAGATGTACGAAACTACTACATGGGTTTATACTGTGTCGATGTTATATTGTTAACCTAGAGTGGAACACCGCATGTAATGCTGCCGTAAGATCTGGAGTTATAGGAAAGAAACCCAACTCGATTGATCATGCTGTGCATTTTCGTTGACTCAGGCTCATGCCGTAATCACACATGCTGAAACAGTTTTCCCGATCGCGAAATTATAAGTGGATAAAGATCAGATGGAAATCATTCCAGGGTGATCAAATCAAAGAATGAAACCATTGACTGTGACAGGCAAATGTGGGTAGTCTGTCTGGAGACCTCAGGATGCTAAATATTAAGGGCTGGAGTTTTCTGGCGAAAACATGAAGATATGTCATTTCTTTATCGTCTTTTGAAGTTACGAACACTCATTGGACTTTATTTGATCTGTGTTGTTACTTTCACGTCTACATTTGTCCATTCCCACTTTAATAGTTGTACAGTTGTATTTATGTACGAATTGATACAAGCAATAACGAGCATATTTACTTGTATCCATGATACAATTGTAAAAATGAGTGGAGGTGCTGGGGTGCGTTGACACTGGTCCAAATGACTGAAACATATTTATATTTACATATATATATGGTTACAAGGGTATTTCTGTTGAGTTAGCACCAGCGGTGCACCACGTTATCCAGTGTGGTTGCCCACAGGTCGTGAAACTCAACAGTGGCTCAAGACGTCATCAGACATGTCAGGATAAAAATCAATCTCTTCTTCGTTACACCAATGTAATGTAGTGAACGCTACTTTGAATACTCTTGATAATTATGAATACATCAACAAATAAATATTGAGCAATGTAGAAACATTCCCCAACTAAAAGGGGTTGAATATTCTCGAATTTAAAGATGAAATCAAACACACTTAGGAGTGGGAGGATTGTCAAAACAAAATGGGCGACGTATGAGACAACAAAAGCATCAGAATGAATTAGTTAGTAGGAAGGAAGATGGCAAACATCAAGTTGAACCATAAAAGCTAAGTAAGGGTGAAGTGAAATTTTGTAGAGAACCAGTGTTTACTGCTATGAGTGACAGAGACGATTTTCTACCAAGCTTGTCCAATGAATTTCGGAAAGTCCACCCCTCAGACTCACTCAACAGTCCCACAACTTATCACCTAGGTGATATAGGACATCAGGCAAACATCAGAATTTTTAAAGGCGGTCAGCAAACAAGGCATTCCATAACTGATTAAAACTGTCTAAGCTATTACCATCTGAAGGGGCAACTGGTATAAACTCTATGAAATAGAGTGAACTGATCTATTTCAGCGAAAATACACAATGTTACAAAGACGCATACCACTGCTGCAGTCTGCATATTTTATAACTTTTTAGGCAACTGAGTGGCTGGGTCGCGCATCTATAAAAGATTAAACTTTGCCGGACACGGATTTTCTGTGGGGGGAAAGGGAAGAAGACAAATATCAAAGTGCAAAATACTTTCAAACAAAAATATTTTTGAGAAATTCAGAAAATTGACCCACCTCGACTGTTTCACTGATACCAAAATTCTTTATATAAGTTGTAAACGAAGTTGAGTTAGAAAGTTCAGCTGAAAAACCTATTCCAGACTGATCCCATGGCATCGCCAAGTGAGAAAGGAGGACGTTAGTGTCACTTGAAGTAGGGAATATGGCTTTTTTATCAAACGGATAAAAATCAAAGACGGTATCTGTGCTCTTTAGTTCAATATTTAATTCAGAACCATAGTACAGCAGTGAAGTTCCTGGATGATTATCAGAAACGAAAAAGAAATTCCAAATATACTGTAAAATTTACCAATAATCTAAGGAATGCAAACTCTCGAAATGACACATTGCCGAATATAAAACTTTACTGACTAGGGAGTTTTATTCAGGTGTCTCGAGCAATCTACATAACTCGTAAGTTTACGAACTAATTAATTTTACGTCCATGTTTACTGTATAGCGATGCAGATTATAAATTTGTACCACAGAATTGATCTCCATAACTTTCCCCAGTAACTGAAAATTCGGTTCCCAACATATCATAGCACATGTTTCGGAGCTCAGATCGAATAGTTTGAATGCCACTTCCTGTATAAATACAATATCAACTAGATTCGTTGCCGAGTAGGCACCAGTTTTGCTCGAGTAGAGATGTACTAACTTCCTGGACCACAACAGATATCGTTGTAGAATCTTTATTATACATCAGCAACAAATAGAACATACGAGTGGGACAGAAACCCAAATGTTCTCCAAAAACTATATCCCTAGTCCTTTGATGGAAAACTGCCAAATATATGCAAAATAGTTATCATTTGAATGTTTTCTTTGCCTGCCTGTAATTACTGATAGAAAAACAAATTTTAGAGGTTGAATTAATTAGAAGTGTACTATACGGAGAGCCCAAACTGAGTTACGTGGTTTTAAGGTTGTTTTTAGGAAAAGTTAGTCTATATATCTGACCAGTAACGTCTGAGACAGAGACTCTGATAGTGATCCTCGTAACCATCCGAAGTGGTGTTGGAGTCTGCCCTGATCTATACTCGTCGAGAAACAAAACTTGTTACACTAACCCTCTGTGCGCAGCTCGGAAACTCACCAAGTTGATATATGCTTGTTTTACTCTTATTATACTTGTTTTCGACCTAGTTATGTGATTTACATACCAATTAATAATTGCACACAAAATCGCCACTTTTCACAAGACGTCTGTGTGACTTGCAGTGTAGGTAGCCTGTCTCTCCAAGAATAGCACCAACAATAGCCACTTGAGCTTCATTATACCAAAACTAATAAGAGATATTTATTCATAAACTCCGATGTCTTAACGAACAAATTTAGCCCTCGTTTGTTTCCCTTTGAAATGAATTTCCGAATGTAGAACTTTGTGCAAAAGTGCAGTACTCCGAGTTGACAAACTCCATATACCACACAAAAATAGGAAAAAAGAAACTATAACAATTCGATTTGTACGGGGGAAAGGAAAATAGCTTGAAAATTAACGAGAATTTAATGAAGGCGAGCGTTCATAAGTAGTGAGTGCATCTAAGCCATTGGGAACAGTTTTCCTTCCATTTCACCAACTGTCTCCAGTTTTCGTTCCTAGCGTCTCGAGGATCGCAGCAAGGGATTTTGCGTCTCCCTACATGCATTAAATGTACATCGAGAGGACTACCGTGAAAATCCAAAACCGACACACTGGAAGAAATTCGCATAAATTTTAAAAATTCAACTAGAGCAATCAAGCTCGCACACACATTTCGGTAATTTTCTCACCTGGAAGCAAAAGTGTGGATGCCAACGACACTACATCATTCTTTCTTGGGTCACTTGGTGAAGCGGCTGTCAAAATCATAGAATGTCGGTCATCTACCTTCAGCTTGTCATATGCAACAATGTCGTTGTTTGTCAGTTCCGCCTTACTAGGGGTGGCTTTCCTAAAACAATGTTTCTAGAAAGCAGTTAACTTTACCATCCACGTTGATTAACAAACTGACGGCTCACTACCGCATGCGCCCCAGGTGATTCTTCCGTACCTAAGAACTTCATAGCCGTATCTTCCATCTCACCAACACCATATCCGGTATTTCCAGCGTCCACCGCTAGTAATCTAGGAGAATAACACAACAAAACAACTTACTTTGGTTTCCCGCTTGACTGCGACACTTCGTCAACAACCTTTCTGATTTTTTGGACAAATTCCAATGACTCATTTGTATATATCTGGGAAGTTGGATAACTCTTAAACCACTGTGATTCCTGCTACAAACATATGACTAGTATTTAAAACCCACCGATGTTACAAGTGAATCACTAGGGTTCTCAGCATTCTCAACGTAGAAAGCAACATTGTCTAAAAGGATACCGTCTATCCCTTCGCTCAGCCAAAACTTCGTCACATCCTAAGGAGAACAAGTGGTCGAATGCATATAAATACACACTAGTAAAACTTACAATCACGTTATCTAGTGCTCCTGATTCCTTGAGATTGAGATCCACAACATTTGCACCGAAAACAGAATAGTAATCAGAGCCACCTATGGTTGTTTTAGCGTCCTCACCCAAACGTGAAAACTAAAACGGCAATATGAGTGACAAATTAAAACAGACCTTTCCAGTTTTATATGGTTCAAGCAGCGACGCATTTTTAGCCCATGAATGCTTTGTGGAGACACTGTTAAAGTCCATAGTTAAAACAACATAAACACCGCTCTTGTGGCACGACTTGACGAAATATCTAAAATCTTCGATACTGCCAGCAGCAGTATCAGGTGTGTAGAAATCATCCACAAGACCAAATATTTTCTCATCATTTGAGTAATAACCAGAGAACATAGACGTCAGAACAACGAAACCCGCCCCTAGTGTATTTTTTATATAGTCGAGTCTATCAACCAAGCCTGAAAGTTAGGAACAATATGAATATGCACTTTACCTTTAAAGTCACCAATTTTATCACCTGACGAGTCTCTAAACGCGAATGGGTCTACCCAATAACCAATGCTTGATCGCCAAAATGGAAGATTCGGTCGTGGTGGACATTTTGGAGTGAAAACTATTATCAGAATTGCAGCCAACAACAATCCAACCCAAACAATCCAAAACAGTATAAATAAACCCCATCGAAGACGGCGCCACATAGGTTCCTTAGAATCGAGTTGCATCAGATCTTCCCTCGTAAGAAGACGATAAGTGTCCATAGAAGCCTTATTACTTTCATTGGTATCAGAGGTATTTTTAGATGGAAGAAACCCAACTTCTTCATCACAAGGAACTCTCCCGTTCGTGCCACTTAAACTCATATCTCAGACAAAATGAGCGCTTTAAGAGTACAAACTAAAAACTGCCTAAAACCATAGCAATGGCGCTGAAACAGTAAAACACAAATCATTATCAAACCTCTTGTCCAATAGGCAACTAGACATTTTGAACTGAAATTCACCCGAAAATATGGTGCGAAGGGGGTCTCATGAATGCATAGGCTTACTGGGATATGATTACTATTCTGTTTGCAGGCTATCGCGTTCGTAGTTTGTGTTACTTTTCGGGGTGATTTTAGTGTTTTTATTCTTTTCTTTCGTATTCTCATTTTTTCGATAATATTTTTAGCATTAATAATTAGTTATGAATAGCAATAGTGTTTGTATCGAAATTTGCCTTTCTTGACGTTGGATATTATTCTTACTGTTTCTTCTGTTTCAAGTTACTGTCTAAGGTGTTAACACATCTAGTATCCGACCTTCGGTGTCCATATTACATTTGTGTTTCTTGACATAGCATCAAATAATCTAGGACTCATATACCTGCAGTCCATCATCTGGTTAGTAAATTTATACAAAATGGCAATCAAGTCATTATCGGCTGAGAACTTTGGCAAAAGACATAAATCAAGCAAGAATAAACAGCATGATAATGCACATTTCCGTGATCTGACACGGAAGCTAAATAAGCGCAGGTCAGATAATATTACCTCTTCCCCGTCTTGCGTAACAAGTAATTTTATTATGGATATTTACAGGAGTATAGTAATAGTTGTGAGACAGGTATTGTGGATGCCTAGCAAGCCACACTGGATCTCAATAAAAGATCAGATATCAGCTCCTTTGGCGCCGTAGAATCCGCACTACCCAAATACCCTGCGCGGAACTATCAGTCAGAAGGTTCGAATATACATATAGCCTCACCACCATCTATACTTATTAGTATCAATTCTTTTCGCTTTGTCAAAAGAAATGATAGCTCCCCTAAGTGCTTTGTAACCATAGACGTTGGCCTACATAATCCTTGCAATATACAGGCAGATTTGCTGTCATCTAGTTCTACTCAGATCCGTGGTTTTAGGCGGGGTACACATGTGACAGTATAGAAGATAGATTATAGCACCGCCTCTGCTATCAACGATAAAGCCTCCCATTTTAAAAATTTCCATCGGTCATCAACAACACGTGGTCGCCATCCTAATGACGTATTCGAAAAAGCAACAACCCATTATCTACGCAACACAAATCCACCCAAGCCAATAATCCAGCAAGTACAAGCATTCTCCCATTAGTTCATGATCTCTTGCCTCTAAGGTATCTGATTAAGCCTGCTGATTACCCCGACTATGACACATTACATTCTTGTGAGAGAATTATTGATCACATTTCCATGGAAGTGATAAAGCGTGTTCAATGCATATATAATGCAATCGTTTTCAATGTGCCTGACAATGCCAACATTAAAACGTTGAAAGACACACTTTTAAAGGCATGTGAAATGCCGGATTCCCATTGTACCTGCAAACGATTGCGTAAATCTTCATCTAATACATCCTGTCCAAAAATGTTCGAATTTAATAGCATTGTGGATGCAAGCTGATTTGTCAATAGCTAGCACCTTTTTAGAAGAATAAGCAGCTTTAAAAACATACGTATTATTCACGACAGGACACCAACGCAACGTCATGCAAGGCAAAGTATCCCAGTAGGTGAAATCAGTTACCAAAAAGATACTGCCAGACCCATTGATATTGACTCACAACCTGGCGCTAACCTTACAAGAAGCCCCTTGCGTGGTGATCTAAAAATGAAGCTTGGTATGGCTACCAGCACTAAATCCAGTATGTCTCCAGTTGTAATGCAACCTGGAAAGGACTACCCTGCCGCAAATGGTACCAATAAAGGTTATACCATCCATACTAGAAGTATTGCAGACCCTTGTAATACCTTCCCATTTAACTCTAAGATTGAGAGTAAAAATGTCAGGAACAGAATTCCTGTTCCTGGCATACACTCTGTCAAGTCTGATTCAGTATCCTGTATTACTCATGCGCTTAAATCTTCTAAAAGAACGTCTAAGGTACTAAATAGTAGTGAGATCAGCCAGCCCTTCTCCTTCCCTTATACTCACCATTTTAATACAACTAGTCGCAGCTACCCAAATTTTACTATGAGGCGGCATAATACCGAATATAACTATGTCCATATTACAGGTGCACAACCACATGGACTCAGTCGCCTAAACTCTCAGCAAAGTCAGTTTAGAGATCTACCCAGTAAATGCTGCAACCCCGCAAACACACTCCCCAACACCGAAACCGTTTTTATAACGCTCCAGTTAGTCAATGTCCTCACCATTTTCTCACTTTACCACACACGGCAGAAATTTCACCAATCAACCTGATATCGAGCAGTGTTTCCTAATCCTCAAATCTGTACTCTTCAGACACCCGGAATACCCCAGTTTCCGCATGTCTGTCTTCATGCGATCATGAACTGAGCGATCAGCCAAGGACACCCTCTTTTTCGCAGAACCTCAAAGAAAATGGTGAATACCTTACGCACCGAACACTCGATGTACCGGTCAGTCTGTCATCTAGTTTTCACTTAACCTTAGCAGAATCACAACATCATCTCCCTCATTTTGCCTCAGCCCTCACCACTGATCTAAGATCTTCTACTCTTTTCCTCACAAACGCTCCTTTTATCTGTAATAAAATTCCGTATCTTCACTCGTTAATTTCACTTAGTATGCCTTCAGTATTGTTAATTACCGAGACCTGGCTACCATCTGACTTCAATGACAGGCTGTTAAAATCCCCAGGATACACACGCTTTAGACATGGCAGAGAAGAGGGTCATTGAGGTGGTCGTCTTATTTCTTCTAGTAACAAATTCCATGCTGTAGAAGTTGATGTTCTGGACTGCTCACTGACAGATGGAGTATGGGGTTCACTAAACACTAACTTAAATATTGGGCTTTTATTGGGGTATATATACCGCCCACCCAATTCTGACGCCAAAACAACGGGCCATTTATGAGAAATTTTCGAACACGTCTCTCCTCTAAATTTTAACTATAAAATTATGGCTGGCGACTTTAACATGCCTGGTATCCAGTGGAATAGCCTAAACGCTCCTGCATACCCTAATCGTTTTATAAATACGGTTGAATTCTATGGATGGGCACAAAATGTTAATCACCTCACACGTAAATCCAAAATCCCGGATCTTATTTTCACACACAACATTCTCCACGTCAGCACTAGAGTTGGGCCTTTGTTCCCTGTTATCGACCACAACACGGTTATTTCTACCTTCAACCTATCAACAAGTGTGTCAACTAAAGACCGTCACCGGACAATAAAAGTCAGAGACTTTTCAAAGGCTAGGTAGAAAACAACAGTGCCTTTTATTCATTGCCAAGACTAGGATACTTTCTTCTCCTCAGCAGAAATTCATTCTGTTCTTGTCAGTTTCTACTCCAACATATCAATTTATTTCAGAGAATCTATCCCTTGACATCAATCCAAACGCAAATGTGTAACTCAACTATGTATACGTAATGCTAACAGCAACAAGCTAAGAAGACTCCGTAAAAGTTATAATAAATCTATGGACTTCTCCCCGCCCGTTAGTATCCTTAAAGTAATAGACAAAATCAGATCAGATTATGTCAATAAAACCCATAAGGAAGAACTTGTTGCCCTCAAGAGCAGTTGCAAGATCAGTCCACTTCGCAAACTGTTTAAAAGAGACTGCGGCGAAACAAGGTAACATTCCCTACACTCTTCATAATAATGTTGCTGTTAAGGATGATGCAGGCATAACTGAACTCTTTAACAAGCACTTTTCTGATTCGTACGTAAACGACATTTCTGCATGCATCGAATTTGACTCCGTAACAGACAAATCACCGTCAAATATATGCTTGACAGTTGACGTCATAAAAAGTGCAATCATTTCACTGAAATTCTCCGATAATCCTGTACCTGACTCAATTCCCTCGTCTTTCCGAAAAATTGTTGCCCTGATCTCCCTCTTCGTTTGTTTAAAACATTTTTGATGTCCCTTATGAACGGAGTTTATCCTTCTTAATCGAAGCAGACATACATGGTGAGGAGAAATGCTATTGCGTTTCAAATTTACTTTGCTTCTGGTTTTCTCATCTTTCATTGGCCAGAACAGCAGCGGTCGGTTAGATCTTTGGTTTGCCATAGGTATTGTAAGGCATGTTAAGTTCGGCTGTTTTCCAATGTTCAGACTGTACTTGTCTAATTTCAGGATGACTACGTAGCGTGCAGGGATCGGTCGGCAAAGATGATGCAGCGGATGACCCATAGGAATACCCTTTCACTCTCACATAATTGCATTGTGATTAGTTGCAAATATACGAACGTGTCTGGAACCAAGCAATATATTTGCTGTAGCCATAACAATCAGAGCCTAACATCATAAAAGGAGGGAGGGTGGCGCATGCTGATCAGTAGATATGGTGGTGGACACTAAGGTGAATCGCCCCATTCTGCAGGAACAGCAATATGCAATTTGGCGGCTCGAGATTTCTTTGAGGGCTTGAGTCTTTATCTTGAAAAAGATAATGATGATCGCCTAGACAGATCATGCTTCTACCCTTAAACATATACCATTCGGTCAGCCTATTGCTGAGATGCGACCACGCGGGCTCTGCACAGATTTATGCAGCATCTTATAAATTAACATGCTTTCCTTTGTCGTATCTTCGAATATCACTTAAATGTTTCATCTCATTCATTTTCTAATAACGTCTTTACTTGCTCCTAATTATATTCCATTAAACCTAACATTTTATAGCTCTTTATGAATTTGATTCGACTTATTTTATTCCTATTCTCAATAGGGTACGGTTGTGCACCAAATACACAAAAAGGTATGAAATAAAAACCGGCTTGTGGATAATTGTATTAAAACCAAAAGTGGACATCATGATAGTGAGACCTATATGGGTAGTATGATACATTGCAAATGAACTTTGTCAGCCTAGGGATTATAGTCTCCCATTG